GAGGTAAATGTAATGAGTGTCTTCATTTTATATATGAGAAAACTGATGCACAGAGGCACTTTTCTCAGAGTTAAAAAGCTAGTAAGAAGTGGACCTGGGATGAACTAACCCAAGCACTTTTACAATGTAAGATTTTTTTCCCTACTAACCACATAATGTGCATCCATATAATAATAGTTATAGTACTTATTGTACTTCAGGCAGAATCGTAAAGACTTTATATATGTTAAACCATTTAACCCTCACAGCAGCTCTTTTAGGTAGGTACTATTATAATCTCCATTTCACAGTTGAAGGATTTGAGTCTTACATTAAATAACTCGCCAATGGTCACACAGCTAAGACAGACATTGCTGAGATGTGAATGTTGGCAATGCACTTTAACTCTAAACCAATACACAACACTGCATCTCACATGGAAAACAAGCAAGCAAATGATCAAAACAACATAATTATGCAAAGAATAATTAATATTTTCACTTTAAAATATATATTTATCTCACAGCACTGATTCATTTTAATTATATTATACACAACTTGCAGTGAACTTATACAACCATTCTTAAAGGTTTCTATTTTGTGTTCATGCCTTTTATAGATGTTTTCTCTAAGGCCAATAAGAATAATATGTAGTATAAACATTAGAAGTTACAGGAAGTATACAATAAAATACACTGTTCTACTTATAACAGAATTTTCAAAGATTTATTAGATTTAAGTTGTGAACAAGCCTGGTGTTTGGCAAATATTAGACCAATTCAATAAATCACTGTATAGTTGAAAATTAATAAATGAGCACAATAATGAGAGAATGAAAAAAACACAATTTGTAATAATGTATGTATACAACTCTCATTTGTACAGATAAATTTTTCTATTCTGTGAATTGTTGTATACTGCAGGGCTGCCACCCATGGTTTTGTTTCCCAGTACTCTTACAATAAAATAAATAAACATTTCTATAATTCCTGTTAGTTAGCTTTCTGATTCTTAGAAACTATTTATCCAATCATGGATCTAAACATCTGTGAGGACTGACAGAACTTTCAGGAACCATACTATTGTGAAGTTCTAAGACCATATTTTAGGGAATTTACTGAGGTTCTGGAGATTATAATTTAACATCTACAAAACTAGGGACCTTTGCCATTTTCAAATAGTTAAAATGGGCCATAGACAGAAATGCAGTTAAATAAAATTAGCCTTTTTTTTTTTTTTTTTTTTTTTT